GCTCTCCCACACACTGGAGGTGCTGCACAGTCAGACAATCTTGAATTTCACACTCATTCTCCAACAGAGGCTTCCTTAACAAAAACCTTGCTCTCGCTCCTGCATTGTGCGTAATTAAAACAGTTCTTTGTTAAAATCAAAATATAGCAAGCAGCCCACACAGGCGGCAGGACTATCGCCTGGGGTGGCAGGCATATTTTGGGTGGTACTCTGGAGGAGTTATGAATGGATTGTGGTTCTTCTCCTCCTTGCAGCTGTTAGTCACCGGAGCTGTGTTCCTCCTGGGGAGAGGAGTGAACTCTTTTCGCTGACAACAGCTGTATATGCAAAGTGCCAATTTCAGAGTGTGCGGGGAAGTCCATGCATCCAGAAGAGGTCGCCTCCGGAGACACAGTGGGTCCTGTGTTTCAACACTGGGATGATTTCTGGGGTGGGTGTGGCAGGTAAGCACAGTTCTCAACCTCAGAGCAGTATATACTCTTAGCTCTGTAACCGAGGGCTTGCTCAGGCCTCATCTGAAGAGCCAACCCACCCTCTATGTCTTAGTCACTTTCTATGGCTGGAACTAAACACCTGCCACCTGCAGCTGAGGAGGAGAGGTTTATCTTGGCTCACAGTTTAGAAGTTTTGGTTCCTGTTCAGCAGGTTTAAACACAGAAACAGCAAGGTGGAAGGGCCTGGGTGGAGGGAAGCTGCTTGTGTCACTGAGACGAGGAAGCAGAGAGAAGAGCAAGGAGCTGGGAATGAAAATACAGCCTCCCGGGTCACACGCCACCTCCTCCGACCAGAACCCACCTCCCAACAGCAAGGCAACGGTGCCACTCCCAAGATCCAATAGCTCCCAAAGCCCCTCACATGAGTGTGTGAGCTCTTTGGGGACATTCTTGATCTAATACTCTAATACCCTAGGTGATGATGAGCAATTCTAATTTGAGGACTTTTCTGATAGCATTTTATTCTTATCTGACTCTTGACCCTTTAACTCATTCCCAAATCCTGGGTCTGTAAACCCAGCAGAAGGATTTCCTGGCTCTTCAGAACGCCTCTAAACATCCCATGATAAGATGGGGCCATTCCATCAACAAAGTGAGTATAAATCCCTAGAAGAAACAGTCATAGGGCACTATAAATATCTAATAGAAATAGCATTCATTCAGGTAGTAATATCTGATTGTCTAATGTGCTTTAGGGACTATAACACGATGCCAGGATGGGTAAGATGAGGCCTCTCCACGTCTGGCTGAGCCACACGAAACAGTTTTAAGTGGCCAATCATCCCAAGCCCAACTCACCGGAAATGGAATCCAAAGCCACTTCCCACCATTTTAAAAGGCACTGCTCTTTGGGTGAGCCCAGTGAGGAAATTCCTTTAGGAATAAAATATTTCCCTGATGGAAGATCCTTGGAAGAGCTATTTTTCCAGGTGACACAGGAAATGAGCAAAGTTATTCTCAGGAGCGAAACCCATTCCTCTGCTTTGGTCAGCATACCACTTGGCCAATAGAGAGCTCGTGTCACCTGACCAAGAATGGGGAACAGAAGCACTAGAAACCAGAGGTCCAGCATTTATGGAGAAGGGGTAATACTTCACTGAGCTGGCTATCAGGAATGCACTGACTTAAGTGTATTAATGTAACAGACACTGACAGAGCTCAAAAGCAGAAACTCCAGTGTAAGAGATGACATGAAGGGAGTGGCTATCTATTGGGTAGGCTAAGGGGGTCTTGATTGGCTGAAGGGAGGCAGTGGGCACTTGAAGAAAGGATATTTGCTTGACAGTCAAAGGAATATGTTACATCCTTGCTCTGCCACCTGTTAGCTGTGCACCCTTGGGAAAGTTCCTTTATCTCTGAGGTCAAATTTTCCACCAAATGAGGATGACCAATGTGGCCAATAACAAAGGCCAATCATCAAATTCTGTTATATATAAAATAAGCATGAAATTAAGAGGTCATATCACAGTGTATTTATATGTATATTAGTAGAAAAGTGATTTATTTCTAACAAGCATAGAGCTTCTCCAAAAACATTACTAACAGGAAGATATATATCCTATACATATATATGGTACAGGAAATATAGTTGATATAGGGTGATCTTATGATACTATACATAGAAAGACATAGATGAATGATTAATGTCTAATTTTAGGAAACAAAATGTTTTAAGGTAGCCCAGAGACTTTTTATTTTACTTGACAGACCTGCTGCCTGAAACATCACTTCCTGAGAAAGTATATTTTGGTGAAAACCCACAGGTTCATTTGAAATTGATTCATACTGACAAGGGTACTTTGGATTTTACTTCTCAACCAGAACCTTCTTCTAACTCCTAACAGATATTTGTAGGTCATATTTCTTTGGGTCCTAGCCATACAAAAGAAATTGTTGGTTGTTTGAGGAAAATTTTAAAGAACCAACTATCCAGCAACTGGGTTATTATAACAGAAACACTGGCTAAAAGTTTGTTTAAACCTTACAGGGTTAAATAAATTGCCACCTATAGCAATATTTAGAGATTTTTCTCTTAGAGGAAGTTACTTTGGTGAAGTGGACTCAGTTATGAAGAAGAAAATCTTAAGGGGTGTGTCAGGATTTTTCCCTTAATGTTAGCTTTATATTATCCAATTAACAATGATATTTAATTCAATTAGACAAACATTTATTTAGCCCTTACTGTAGACCAGGTAACCTGTTAGGTGTTGGTAGATATAATAGCAATGGACTAATCAGTAGCGTTTTTCTGTAAAGGGCCAGATAGTAAATCTCTGAGGCTTTGTGAGCTATAGTCTGTCACAACCAGTTAGCCCTGCCGTGATAGCACCAAAGCAGCCATACACAACATGTGAACGAAAGGGCATGGCTGTGCACCAACCGTATTTACAAAAACAGGTCTGGGTTGGGTCTGGCTTATAGGCTCACGTCTCCTGATTTTTGTCCTCATGCGGCCTACGTTCTAGTGATGATGCTATCTGGCTTCTGGGCTTGTGACAGGGATTAGGCAAAGTGAATTGAAATTTATAGTTAGATCGATGTATTGAGAAAGTGACTTTCTGACAAAGATTTGAAGTTGGTGAGGGAGTTCTATTTGGGAAAGGAACATTCTAGAGGGACCACATGTACAAAAGCCCTGAGATTGGAAGAGCCTGGAGGCCTGCGGGGCTGGTGTCGAGGGTGTAAGGAGAAAAGCAGTAGAGGTGAGGCGAAGAGGACCGTGGCCTGCTGGATACTCGGCCTTGGTGACCCAGGCATTCACGCTGAGGAAGCAGAGAAGGCACCAGTGAAGATTGTGAGCAGAAAGGCGTCCTGATCTGACACCGGCTTTATAGGCTCTGTTGAGCAGACTGTAAGAGGCAATAGTGAAAGTGGGTGCCCCACTGGAGAACATTTCAATAATCCAGGTGAGATCTGAGGGTCACCTGGACCAGGGCAGAAGTAGACGCTCAGGTCTTTAGTTCTGGTTGTATTTTGAAGGTTGAGGGAGGATTTTTCTACCGAGTATATGTGGGAAATTAGGAGTATGAAGCTTTGTTTAAAAATTAACTTTGCTCCTGTAATCCCAGCACTTGGGATGGGAGCCTGAAGCAGGAGGATCATTGTGAGTTCAAGACCAGCCTGGGCTATATATCAAGTTCCTGGCCAGCCCAGACTATATAATGGGACCCTATCTAAAAATAAATAAATAAATAACTTTGTAATACAAGAAAAAAGTATTAAGTACATTTTTTGTTTTTCTTCCTGTACCAGGAATCGAACTCATGACCTTGTGCTTGCCAGGCAGGCGCTTTGCCGCTGAGCTAAATCCCCAGCCCTTAAGTACATTGTTTAAGTAAAAGTATACAAACATCCATTTCTATTTTATAGTTTTCAAGCCCAGTTTTCTCTGGGTTCATCTGATTTTCATCCTGTATCTATTCCAACATACTAAAGTAAGGCTTTACCTTTCCCATGTGGTGTCCAAGCAGCTTCTATTCCAGTGGGTGAATCTGGTGTGACTCTAGGCCAGCTGCTCAATTCCGGAGTACTTCCTAAAGCAAGTTCCATAGGTTATAGGGGTCAGATAACTCAGTGAGCAAATGGTTCTGTGACCAAATAGCCCTGCATACTAGACTGCCTGCTCAAAGATTCAAAACACACATTAAGTTGGTAAATCTCTGAGCAATCTTGTAGGAAGAAAACATGAAAAACAAAAATGTTTTTAACTATGTCTCTCCCTATTCTCCCACTTTTTCTACTTGCTCTCATCTGTATTTAAAAACAAAATCAGAAGGTTCATGATAAACAGAGCATATAACTTCCAGTAAATAAAGAGAAACGCTCCTCTCCTAGACCTCAAAACCATTATAAAATTTCCCGTCAAACAACTTGCCCTGTCTACCTTATAGACTGTTACAACCACCAAATGTAATTGTGTGCTCAAAGTGTCTGCACACCTCCTCCAGGACACTCACTCCGCCATGTGGGCAAGGCCAGGGTTTCACATAAAAAGGAGAAACACTGGGAAAGATGTTTGCATCAAGGACTAAAAACTGTCTCCAGGTTCTCTCCAGGTTCCCTCCCAGGCTCTCAGCGCTTGAGTACAGGGCCTCCGTAGTCTGGATCTGCAATGGCCCCACTGGCCCAGGCGCTGAAGGCTCAGTCTCCAGCTCAGGGTGCTTTGGACAGGTGAGCTGGCCTCCTCTGATATGTGATTCCACCATGATACAGTACGCCAGTACAGGCCCAAAGCAATGGGGCCAAGCAACTATGGACTAAAAGCTTCACTGCTTGAACGGAAAGAAGCTTCTCCTCCTTTGAATTGACCTTGGGTATTCTGTCAGTGACGGGAAGCCGACTAACACAGGTTCCTTCAGTGATGTCAAGGTGTCAGCGGTCAGCACAAGAGAGAGATTTCCGTGCCGTGCTGGAAAGGGCATATGATGTTTATTAAAAGACTACCTTTGGAGCTATGAATTTTTTGTTAATCCAGATAGAAAGCAACCAGAAAACACTGTAGAAAAAGATGTGAAAAACCTATTTTAATGACAAAAGAAAACAAAGCCAATTGAATATTTTATATTATACTTTGAATTTAAGTATATGATCTTTTCTGAATTACATAATATACAGTATGCTAATTTCATTTTAAAAAATTTAATGTTTCTGATTACAAAAGTGTACATGCTTGTTACATAAAATTTAAAGCGCAGAATAAGTATAAAAAGACAATAAAAAAAACTTAGTTTACCATGAAGAGATAATTTATCAGCCTTAAAATTTTTTCACTTCCATTTAATACTTTTAGGTTTACATATTTTAAACACAATTTCGTTTTCACACAACTGGGCCATCATGATGTAGTTTTTGAAGTCTTTTTTTCTACTTAACTGGTGGGCACCCAACTTTTCCCCACATTTTCACTTTGTACACAATGCTACAAAAACAAGTTCCACATAGTGCTTTGTGTGCAGGGATCACATCTTACCAATAAAAATCCTGGATCCCAGTACACACTTTTAAGGTTGGGCTCCATGTTATCAAACTGCTACCACCTCGCAGGAGAGAAACGTATAATGCCCACGGCTGGGTCTGAGAATGTTTATCTCATGTTACTCCTCTCACACCTAATACTGCCTTAAGGCATAGCTGCACACTTCTCATTGCTACACATGGCTCACACTCTGACTTGTATTTTTTTGATTAGTAGTGAGCGTTTGCTCCTCCTCCCTTTTCTTCTGTTGCCTGCAATATCTCTTCCTTGTGAGTTTATCTGCACTGTCCATATTTCTACCTGGAATGCTACAGGAAAACTTTCATTCCAATCAACTACCGGGGAGCCACTGGTGTTCTCCTGCAATTTCATAAGCTCTTCCATGAATTTAAAGAATTTAGGTGGAGGCAAATGCAGTGCTATGTCCCTGAAAACAGTATCGATTCTACTCTCAAACAGGTCATGGCACCAGAGGATCTCCCTTCCCAAGGCTGACTTCTTGGTAACTGATACAAGTTATCCAGAGATAGGAAACTGAAATGCAAAGGCCACTGAAATGGAAAGTCCACGTGCTAATGGATTCAGGATTTTTTTGTTTTGATTCGGCTTTTCAGGGTCCCAGTGGTCTTGGCCCTGGGAGCTTATGTGAGACAGGTAGGTCCGCTCCAGAGGTCCATTTGGACTACGTTTCATCAGCACAAAGCATCAGCTTGGATTTATCTTCATTTCCATAATGCTAGTGTCGATAAGAAGGAAAACTGCCTACCACAGATGTGAAATAATGGGTTGTTTAATGACTCGGCCCAGGCAGTTTCCACACAGGCCACAATGTAGACTGCACACGCTGATACAACTTCGCTGGCAACAAAGTCTCCTAGAAGAAGGCTTTAGTATGAGCAGATTTTCTGCAGAGACAAAAACACATACTTGAGTCCTTCCTCCCTCCGTTTCACAGCTCTCGTCTCCCAGTCACTGGCAGAAGTCACCACTTCTTCGGCGAAGGAGTGCCGCTTTCCAAAATCCTTTGGCAGAATCTCCTAGAGATTTGTTTTTCTGCAGCTTCCTAATTTTAGAAACAGTCTTCAAAGAAAGAAAAAAAATACATAAACCCCTGACAAATTGATGTGAGAAGAAACTAACTCTGATTTAATTTTGAATTTGTTTCATGGAAAGTTTGACTTTATCATCTGCAGCCAGTAAAACTGGAGGTCATTTTTTTTTTTTTCCGGGGGGGGGACAGTAAACAAAAACATGTATGCCCTAAAATCAGATTATTTTTTCTAGTCAAAAAGCGTCGTGTGGTACAAATTCAAGATTTTATTAAAATCCTTTGTAAGCTAAGTGAACATAACAGCTCAGCAGTGAAGGAAGACTTTTTAATAAGGCAAAATAATGAGTTGTGTGAATAAACAAAAGAATGAAAAGTGTTAACTGTGACATTTAAGTGGTTACATGATTTTAATTATTCTTTTGATAATAAGCAGGCTTGTGATGTCTATTCAAGGCACTGAAACCTGTGCCTACTCTGGAATTTGCAGTTGAATTACAGCTCTGTTTTCTGCCCTTGGCAATTTCAAGGAAACAAATGGAAATGGTTTGAACGCGGTATAGAAACCTACCACCTACCAAAAGAATTTAAAAGGTGAGCTGGTAAGAACTAGACAGGGAGAGTGAAAAGAAATGCTTTTAAAAAGCCACCCGAGCACTGTCCTTATTTGTGAGAAGGAGCGAGAGGTCAGAAGAGCTAGTCGGAGAAGAGTCCAGAAGCCCAGCACCGGCCAGCCCCTCATTTGTTCTTGGCTGCCAGAGGTTTCCGGCTGATCTTTTTCGATTTGTCGTTATTCTTCTTCGGGGGTTCCGGGTTTGCCTGCATGTGTCTGCCGTAGAGGCTAGAAAGAGAAAGGGGAGAGCGTGAGGTCTCTCTTCCCAGCCCAAATTCCTTCTGGTAGAAACATAAGCAACAGATTCATCTCCAGAAGTAGTCAATCAACCAAAGAACACCTTTCAAAGATCCCTTGTTTTACTATATGTAACAATTTAAAGGGGCTGGAGGCATAGCTCAGTGGTAGAGCATTTGCCTAGCACGTGTGAGGTCCTGGATTTGATCCCCAGAACCATAAAATAGTTAAACACAATTGTCTTGCACATGCGCGTGAACACGTATGCATGTGTTCTGCAGCGAACAAGCCTCCTAGAACTTCCCACTCACTGGGCAGGGTGTGGAAACCTGGAAGAGGTCCTCTGGATTCTGGGTACAGCTCATGCTCAGGAAGACCAGTGTTTCAAAGGCCGTGAGTGTTTAGGTGGAGACATGACTAAAAGAAGTTTGGGCAGGAGAAACAGAGTGTCCATTTCGTGACAAGTGAGCACCACGCCTGGCCCAGCAGCCCAGGGGCCGGCTGATGTGACAAAGAGCAATGGGGTCCAAGTCCGGGCTGGCTGCTCACGTGTGATTGATATCGCAGGGACGGTGACCACACATCAATGCCACATTAATAAGTACTGCTGATTAAATGTTGACAAAGTGCCTTACAATTACAGGGATGGCATTCACTGCAGCGCGGAGCTGGCTCCATGGCTGAGGGGATTTAACTGAGCACCAGATAGTAATTAATCCATAATTTATGAGTGATTCTGATTAAACTAAATTAAAAGCCACCCTAAAATAAATACTGCTTAACCTTAACTCCCCTTATTGATATAACTGTGTCTCCCAGAGAGCCCGGTGCGTGTCTCGGCTCTCAATTTGTCCAAGGAGAGGCACCCGCTGACTCTCGCCCGCAGCTGCCTTGCACCGATGGGAGCCTGGTACAAACACTGTTCTCCGGTTCACACTGGTTCTAAGGTTCGGGTTCAGGAAGACCCGGACAACACCACTGGTAACCTCTCCACTGAATCACTCTGAAGCCACAGAGAATCTCCATTCCAGACAAAGGATTTTCTTTTTTCAAGGGGAGATATAGCTACTTGTCGCACTCTAAGATGTTTTCATGTATGCTTTTGACGTCAGCCTGAACACAAGCCTGAAGGTTAATGCTACCAGACTTGCAATCAACCGTCCATTCTTGACACTGGCGTTTTGTGCCCACACCGTGTGGCGCTCTTTAGCACGTACTGGAGCCCTTGATGACACCAATGCCCTGGCTGGCAGGCTGAAGGGAAGACTTAGCAACGTGGAGCTGACTGTGATTGGTGAGGGACGGGTGCACCCCGGCGTTTTCGTAGCTATATTATATGCTCTTCCCAGGAGTCTTCCAAGGACCTCCTTAGAAGTGGTACTAGCAGGGTCCCCCAGCGGTGGTGAAGAAGAGCAGGTGCCTTCATGGAGTTAGGAATGCAGAGTTTGGAGACGGATTTAGGAGCCAGAGAGAAGACTCTCCAGCCAGGTGTTGCTCTGCAGCTAAAGGGGAGGGTCGTTTGTTTTCTGTCAAGAAGGCGCCATCTGTGCTGGAAGGAAGTAACACGAGAGTTCACACATGGGCTTTCAGGCTCTGTAGGAGTCAGCAGTTTGGAGAGCTTTGTGCTACATAATGGAGCTGGCAGCCCACTCTGGCCCAGCCTGGCACTTGCCCCTTGGCAGTCATAGCAGAGCCACTTTCTTCTCTGACAGAATCTGCCACACAGGAAAATGCAACCTTGGACTTACATGGGGTCCTCTCTACCATGTTTCAAAAAGGATCACAGATGCTGGCAAGACCAAGCAGAGGACACCTTAGTGCCTTGAAAGCCAGGTTTAGGCAGAGCAGAAAGCAAGTCTCAAGTTACCTCTGATGCTACCCCTATTTCCCAAGCTGTTCCTTTCTACTGCTCAAAACCTTGGCGTATGTAACCTTACACGGCAAAAGGGACCGGCAGGTGTGATGGAGTCGGAGTCAGGCACTTGAGAAGTGAAGATCGTCCTGATTATCTGGGTGGGCCAACCTTACACCACTTCCTCCTTAGCACCTCTCTAGATAAAGCAAAGAGGTAGAAGAAACCCTGAGCTCAAGTGGAGCCATCTGCTATACAACCCCCTCCTTAATCAACACACCTAGAAACGTACTCTGCCCTCGAGGATCCTCCGATCCCTTCCTCCTAGGGTGCAGCTTGCTTAAGGCCATGAGCTCCATGCTTGGGAGCTTCGAGCTGCAGCGTGACATTCTGCGGAGACCTCTGTCTGCCCAGGTCACGTAGGGTCTTGGTAGCTCCAGTCACAGCCCCCTTACAGCTTCTTTTAGATCTCTCCTCTCCTTTCCCACCTTGTATTCCAGGAAAGGAAAAAGAAATAGACAATATCGAACTTTAAGGACTATAAACACCTACAGAAATATGGCGCCACAGTTCATGCACCTGGAAACTTGGGTGATAGGAAAGGGGGTACTGACAGCTGTGAAAGGCCAGGGGAGGCTGAAATTGCAGCTGCTGATCTGTGTCACATCCTGGAGGGGTGAGGAGCCAAGCTGGGCAGGGTGCATGGGTGGCCTTGGGGAACTCAATCCAGTCATTTCAGAAGGGGGTACCAAAACTCCTCGGCCCTGGGCAGGCTCTGCTCCCATTACGGAGGGATCTGAGACGCTCTGCTGTTTCCGTTCCTGCCCTTTACATTCAGACTCCACTGTGTGTGTCTGGATTTCCCAGGGCCATCCAGCAAGTCGCACAAAGGGCCAGGCCTGAAACCGCAACCATGGATATCTAAACCCAAGTTTTGACGCTTGCAGCTCCTGGCTCTGTGCATGCCTCAGTTTCTTCTTCTGTCAGAGGATGTCCTTTCGCTAGCAAGGTGGTCCAGTAAGCCTGGCACCGTGGCAAGTCCCTTAGAAACGGCCACCACAAGCTTTTGGAGAGAACGGCTGATGTGGTTAAATGCTAAGAGTGATTAAATATAGGTAATTACACGATTACCTTATTTCTTTAGGGCTTTTTCCTCTGAAAAGAGCACAGTCTTTTCTATCAATGTTAAATCCCCACACACCTCTGGAAGAAAGGTTTTAATCCTCTTTGAAGAGAGCAACTAAAGCTGACCTAGCTAAATGCATTGCCCCAGTTCCTTGGTGAGTCACTGGCAGGGCTGGAGGGCACAGGGTCTGCTGTGACATCCTTTAACTACTCCCTGTGTGGGCAGATGAGAGCTGGCCTTTTCCCGGGCAGCCACGCTCACATGGGGACAGGGCTGGGGCAGGCAGCAGCCAGAGCATCTCAGGGTCCAAAGTCTCGGTGCCATTCCGGGCTCCACCAGTAATGAGCCCCGGGGTCTCAAGGCGGTGAGTGTGGCGGGCAGATCAGCGGCCTCCAGAGGGGGCCACATCCTAACCTCAGTACCCGTGCACTTGTCCTTTCACATGGCCCAAGTGACCCTGCAGGCGGGGGGAGTAATTAAGGGCTGTGAGCTGGAGAGATAATCCTGGTTTTTAGGGTGAACTGAGTGTCATCAAAAAGCATTTTTACCCGCACCCTGGGATGCTGAGGGAGGACTGAAAGTTCAAGCCCAGCCTGGGCAGCTTACACCCTCCCCCTCTCCCTCTCCCTCTCCCTCTCTCTCTCTCTCTCTCTCTCTCTCTCTCTCTCTCGCTCTCTCTCTCTCACACACACACACACACACACACACGGCTGAGAATGCAGCTTAGTGGGAAGGCCCTACTTTCAATCCCCAGCAACTGAAAAAAATAAGTGAATAAAAAATTCTTGTAAGAAAGAAGAAGGCTGCTGGCTGGGAGATGCAGGAAAGAGGGGCCGAGAGGCGCAGGAGACGCTAAAGCTAGGAAGGGAAGGAGAGACTCGCACACTCTTGCCTCAAGTCTCTGGACGGACGCAACACTACACTGGCCCTGATCTCAAGACTTCTAATGTCCAGAGCTCTAAGCCAGCACATCCTTTGTTTCCAGCTACTACGTTTGTAAATAGGTGGTGATCAGTTGGAGCAGCGAGCGGGAACTGACGGGCTAAGCACAGAGCAGCGAGAGGGCCTGACCGGGCAGTGCACACATGAGCATTCTGCTTCCTTTCATCAAGAGTGAAAGTTGATTCCCAGGGCTGCAGATCACTGAGAGGAGAAGTTAAAGAACCAAGTTTCTAGAAGGGCAAGGTGTCCCCTAAAGACAGAATGGGGTATTCTTCCCACCTGGCAGGAAAACTGGCCCTCTCTGTCCCAGCCAGGACAGTCCTCGTCCCCCATCCGCTGAAGGTAAGAACTGGTGAGCCATGTCTTGATTGCATCTGGCTTTACTTTTATAGATGTGACTGAGTCACAACGTGGACAGGGGGTTAGCTACCCCTGGGAGGGTGGTCTCACCTGGCCAGCAAGGTCTCTAAGTTGTTAAAGCATCAAATACATGAAATAATATGGTCAATACAGCTTGTCTTCCTGATCATCCAGTTGCCTCCTCTCCTGACATATGCTGCTTCTCTCAGGGCTTTAGCGAATCCAGCTTCTCCTACCTGGCCTGTCCTTCCCATCCCTGCACTTGGGCAAACCTCAATCACCCCTCAGCTCCCGCTACCCGTCTGCTCCCACACAGCACGTCCCCTCTGTGCTCCCTGCCCTCTATGGCAGCTGTCTCATCTCACAGGAGCCCAGGACACCCCGTAACAGGGGATTCCTGGAGAACAGTCCAGGCTTTGCTTGCACCTCTCTGTCCCGCACCCTGTGCAGTCCTGATGCCGTGTGTACCGGGAACGCCACCAACTTCCACAGTCTGATGTCCTCATCTGCTAAGTGAAGGTGAAAACTGTCAGCTACTTTGGAGGGGATGGGGAAAGATTAAATTACACACGGAAATGGCTGTGTCCGTGTGGCACACACTAGGTGTTATGAAATGGTAGTGGCTCCCCCTGACCTCTAGTAAGGCTCCGTGACGCACATCACCTGGCCAGGTTCTTTCACATGTGCTATTGCCTGGAACCTGCGCTGTGA